GCCTGTGCTTTTTATGCTCCTCTCTATGAGAACAGATGGATCCACAATTTAGCTATAGTTACATGAGAACACCATACAGCAATCATATGGATCAATAAAGACCTGTGCTCTGGATTCATGTATCTGGTTCTGTAAGAACGAGAACCTCGAATCCAGGAGTTTTCATAATGACATCATGCATTGAGAGAGCCATGATTTCTGTTTTTTGGCTGTGGACAGAGATGGGACCCCCTAACTGGATGGTAGTTGGTAGATATTCCATGTAAGATTAATGTAGGTCTTTGATCATCTTCTCCATGTACCATGACTCCCTTGTAGTTAGGGAGCTGTGTCTTTTTTGTTGTTGTTTTAATCATTGTGCATACATTGAAGAGATGTGCAAGCTGTGGCAGTTTGAGAAGGATCCCATGTAAACATATGGATCCATGGAAATCCTTACGTCTGATACATGTATGTGTGTTGGGGCAATGTCATGCAGTGAGGAAACCAATTTTATGGGTTAGTCTAGGGCAGTGATGGTGAACCTTTTTGAGCCCAAGTGCCCAAACTGCAACGCAGAATCAACTTAATTTCAAAGTGCCAATACTGCATTTAAAACCTGAATGCTGAGGTTTTAGTTTAGAAAAAACAACTGCTCCTGCACTGCAAAGGTTAAATACTTGGGTTCCCCCCCTTTTTTTCCCTATGGGCGGTACAGTGGCTTTACGATTGCCCTGTATCACAGCGAAACCGCTTAACAACAATTGCAATCGCAAAACGATGGTCTGAATGGGGAAATTTCGCCTTGCGATGATCTGTTCCCTGCTTCGGAAACCGATTCTTCACAAAATGACATTTTTTGAACAGCTGATCGGTGGTATCGGTGGTTTCAGAATGGCCGCCGGGTGATTAAAATGGCTCCCCGCTGTGTTTAGGGACGGATTCCTCGCTATACAGGCAGCGAAAATGGCCACCATATGGAGGATCTTCGCTGGACTGTGAGTTTTTACCCAATTGGAACACATTGATTTTCCTGGAACAGATTATTGTCGTTAAGCGAGGCACCACTGCATTAACAAATAAATACTTACTGTTTCTCCAATCCCCCATTGGACTAAACCAGTTATGGTCGCCATTACACTCCTGTGCACGTCAGAACCCCATATCTGCGGGGGATTGGTTACAAGCCCCCCCCACGGATGCTGAAAACTGCAGATAGTAGAGAACACTATAATAATAACTAGCATGGTAAAAGAGCAAAATCCAAGAATGTGTATTTTCACCTATATCACCAGAACTGGCCAACCAAGGGAGCCAGAGACCATGCTATGTATTCTTTAACAATAACTATATCTAGTATGGTCTCAGGCTCCCTTTTATTAGGCCACTAATACATTTTTTTAAAAAATCATGCAAAATGCAAGCTTTTGTGAGTGATTCACATGATCAGAGGGACTGTTGACATCATCTTCACAACTCTGCCAATCCTGAGGGTGCTGCCGCCACCTTGGGAACCCAACCTCATCCTCCTGGGTCTTTGTGACCTCACAGGGGTCCCACCTCTCTGCTGGCAGATAAAAAGGGCTTGCTGGGCAGGGCAGGAGACCAGAAGGGAGGCCAGTGTCCAGAGGCAATCCGGCAGAGAGAGCAGCAGCGGTGGCAGCTGCAAGGGACCCAGCCCTTCTGCCCAAGGCAAGTTATCTCATGAAAGCAGGTAAACTTGCTAAGTGGGCTTGCGAGTTAACAGCTC